TTCTGTTTTGTGTTGAACACATGCTGCGTTTCATTTGCATATTGCCTTTGTCCTCCCACACGCAGTGCGCGGTTAAGGTCATCGCAATGCTTTAGATTTTCTATTTTTTGCCGTTTTTCCTAGGCCGCGTCAGGCCCACCTTTTCCGGATAATATATGCAGAACTGCAGAACATTTTTTAAAGCAACGTCGGGACGGATGCAAAATTGGATTGCAACCTGTACGCTTCCCCACAAAGATTGCGTCGTTCAGTCATCTATTGAAGCCACCGTGCCCTCACCTTGTTTTGGCAAGCGGTGTGCAAGATCATCGCTTGTGAAAGGAAAAATCGACTGGACCATGACCAGTCTCAAAATTTACTGAGAGTTATCAATCTCTCCTTCTTCGTTGTTCTCCGAAAGTTCTTTATCAGATGTGTTGCTATCAAAAGAAAGGAGGTGGTGGGTAACAAAAAGGATGCAAAAAAATGTAGACTGTAGAAGATGTGTCAAAGCATGGCTAAGTTGGAATATGGCTGGTCACATATCAGCGCCCGTGAGTCTAGAATGGTTCCCTCCAAGCTTTAAAAACAGATTGAAACGCATTGACCTGGGAAAAATGATGATAGATCTCGTTTTTTTTTCAAACGCCTTGGCTGAACCAGAAGTGTTGGCATCTACAGAATGCAGATGGTGGATGAAAACAAATGTGCAAGGAAGGCCAAGTTGGGTTATGGCTGGCCAACAGTCAGCACCTGTGGGTCTGGAATGGTTCCCTCCAAGCTTTAAAAACAGATTGAAATGCATTGGCCTGGGGAATATGATGATAGACCCTGCATTTTTTCCAAACGCCTTGGTTGGACCAAACGTGTTGGTATCTAAAGAAAGGAGATGGTGGATGAAAACACATGTGCAAAGGGATGTGGAAGTAGGAGAGGTGCCAAAGGAAGGTTAAGTTGGGTTATGGCTGGCCAACAGTCAGCACCTGTGGGTCTGGAATGGTTCCCTCCAAGCTTTAAAAGCAGATTGAAATGCATTGGCCTGGGGAAAATGATGATAGACCCTGTATTTTTTTCAAACGCCTTGGTTGGACCAAAAGTGTTTGTATCTACAGAATGGGGATGATAAATGAAAACAAACGTGCAAAGGGATGTAGAAGTAGAAGATGTGTCAAAGGCAGGCTAAGTTGGGCTATGGCTGGCCAACAGTCAGCACCTGTAGGTCTGGAATGCTTGCCTCCAAGCTTTAGAAACAGCTTGAAACACTTTGACCTGGGGAAAATGATGATAGACCCTGCATGTTTTCCAAACGCTTTGGTTGGACCAAAAGTTTTGGTACCTACAGAATGGAGATGTTAAATGAAAACAAACTTGCAAAGGGATGTAGAAGTAGAAGAGGTGTCAAAGGAAGGTTAAGTTGGGTTATGGCTGGCCACATGTCAGCACCTCTGGGTCTGGAATGGTTCCCTCCAAGCTTAGAAAAACAATTGAACCGCAGTGACCGGGGGAAAATGATGATAGACCCTGCATTTTTTTCCAAACGCCTTGGTTGGACCAAAAGCGTTGGCACCTACAGAATGGAGATGATAAATGAAAACAAGCGTGCAAAGGGATGTAGAAGTAGAAGATGTGTCAAAGGAAGGTTAAGTTGGGTTATGGCTGGCCACATGTCAGCACCTCTGGGTCTGGAATGGTTCCCTCCAAGCTTAGAAAAACAATTGAACCGCATTGACCTGGGGAAAATGATGATAGACCCTGCATGTTTTCCAAACGCTTTGGTTGGACCAAAAGTTTTGGTACCTACAGAATGGAGATGATAAATGAAAACAAACTTGCAAAGGGATGTAGAAGTAGAAGAGGTGTCAAAGGAAGGTTAAGTTGGGTTATGGCTGGCCACATGTCAGCACCTCTGGGTCTGGAATGGTTCCCTCCAAGCTTAGAAAAACAATTGAACCGCATTGACCTGGGGAAAATGATGATAGACCCTGCATTTTTTTCCAAACGCCTTGGTTGGACCAAAAGCGTTGGCATCTACAGAATGGAGATGATAAATGAAAACAAGCGTGCAAAGGGATGTAGAAGTAGAAGAGGTGTCAAAGGAAGGTTAAGTTGGGTTATGGCTGGCCACATGTCAGAACCTCTGGGTCTGGAATGGTTCCCTCCAAGCTTAGAAAAACAATTGAACCGCATGGACCTGGGGAAAATGATGATAGACCCTGCATTTTTTTCCAAACGCTTTGGTTGGACCAAAAGTTTTGGTACCTACAGAATGGAGATGTTAAATGAAAACAAACTTGCAAAGGGATGTAGAAGTAGAAGAGGTGTCAAAGGAAGGTTAAGTTGGGTTATGGCTGGCCACATGTCAGCACCTCTGGGTCTGGAATGGTTCCCTCCAAGCTTAGAAAAACAATTGAACCGCATTGACCTGGGGAAAATGATGATAGACCCTGCATTGTTTTTCCAAACGCCTTGGCTGGACCAAAAGTGTTGGTATCTAAAGACTGGAGGTGGTTGTTGGAAGCACGTCACTGCAGGTTGCTCATCACAACTTGGCCTGGCATTTGTTTCTTCCAAATCAAACTGGCATATGTGGGAGGTTGGAGGTAATGCCATATCATGCTGAAGTAAAGCTCATGATAATTCAGCTGAAGATGTTGCCGGAGATTAATTTTACATCTTTGTTATTGCACATTGCTGCAGGTTGGTCATTGTTTTGCCTTGTTTTCGGGTGATGTTCAAACCAAGCAACATCGAAATCACCTAGTTTTGAAGTTTTGAAAATGGAAATCTTGATCGACCAAAACCGGGGATGCTAATTCCACACATGTTTTGCACCTTTGTGCAAATACCTCATCACGACTTGTTTTCTTTTTCTGCGCTCCAAATCAATGACCTTTTCTTGTGGTCTGTTGAAATCAATTTATACCACAACAAGGCTCATATACTTTCAAGGTTCTAATTTGATAGCCTCTCAGGATTCTAAAATCATACCCTCTATGATTTTAGAACCCTCAACGGCATTTTTAGGCACCGCGATCTTGAGGGTATGTCTGATCTCCATTCTATCACATCCAACCGGGTCAGGACAAACGAAAAACAGGTGGTTCAAAACTGTTGCAATTTGTTTTCAAGAAAATAAATTCCTTGTAATAAAGAGAGATCAGTCCGACACTGAATTATCAGACTTCTCAGCCTGATGATGAATTGCGTAAAATTTTCTGGGATGCAAAAGATGGGTGATGATAGATTTGAAAAAGATTGGTCGAAAAAATAAACCTGTTCCAGAACCTCTCTTTCAGAATCCCTTTATTTTTGCTTCCAATCATCTGTGTTGCTAGGGATTTGGGGTGAACCAAAAAAAATATGGCTTCCTGACAGTAGGGCCCCAGAATGCTATGATTTTATATTTCATTTTTTGCTAGCTTCAAAACCTCCAAATTCCAAGGGTCTAGAGTGGTACCACTGGGACAGGTCTACAATGCCCTAATTATCAGTCTAGACCTCTAGACCCTAGCCCCTCCAGGGGGGGGCCTTCTAGACCTTAAGTAGTTGAGGGTATCATTCCACTACACTCCACTACACTCAATTATGCTCAACAACGCTACACTACACTACACTACACTACAATACACTACACTACATTCCACTACACTACACTACGTTTCACTACAGTACACTACACTCCACTACACTACACTACAACTACGCTACACTACATTCCACTACACTACACTACACTCCACTACACTACACTGAATGACACTGCACTACACCTACACCTACAACTACAACTACAACTGCAACTACACTACATTACATTACACTACACTAATGACATTACACAACACTACAACACTACATCACACTACATTAAACTAACTACAACTACAACACTACACTCCACTACACTACATTACACTACACTACATTCCACTACACTACACCACACTACACCACACCACACCACACTACACTCAATTGCACTACACTACACTACGCTACACTACCCCACACTACATTACATTACACTACACTCATTACACCACCACAAATGCAACTGCAACTACACTACACTAATTACACTACACCACAACTACAACTCCACTACACTACAACTACAACTACAGCTGCACTACACCACACTACATCCAGCAGTTGTGCGTGAGGCGACCGACCAGGTGACCACTGCAACCATTGCAACCACTCCAAAAAACACAGCTCCAACCACCTTTCGGTCCATCAGTGGATTCGCTCTGCCATCCGTGATTCACAACAACCAATCTCTCCTATAGGTTTCCTATTTTTGAAACTTCCGCCACCGCCTTGTGCAGTACCTACTGGTATAATTATGTATCATTAATTCATTGTATTAATCCAAATTGCGTCCCCATCATTGTCCCCATTATATCCCCATTATGTCCCCATGCAATCAACATCAATGACACCTTTTTTACACCGAATGGAGCCGTTGGACGACCGCTCTGAGACCACAGCCGCACTCACGACGCACATTCGCGCGTCAGGTGGAACCTTGTCCCAGAGTCGCTGCGAAACCTCCGCTGAGTTTCTTTGGGCGCTCAGTGACTCGAAGCTGGGCATGAAGACACAGACTCAGCACAGTTGATCTGACCAAACGTGTTTGTTTCGGGTGTTTTTTCACTATGAATGTTAATGACTTTTATGGAGCTATACAAAAACAAACATGTTGACAAGGCTGTCTAACACGATTCCATTCGGGACAGTCCAATTCATGCTGAGAACCAAAGTTTGAGTCATACCCAGTTGTGTCTGCTGAGGCCGTCTCAGTCGGTGGTACCAGTTTTAGTTATCAAATGTGTTCCCTTCCTGGGACCATCCAAACAGCTTCGAATTCGGGGGAAGCGACAACTTCACGGGTCTTTCAAGCTCTACCCCATTGGATTTGGATGGTAGCAAGCGTGCAAACCGTGCTGAAAACCTGTCAAACACATTTCTTTTGTTGTTGGCGACTAAATCTGTTGCATTTTTTCCATGACTTTGGATGACTCTGTTCCTGGATTTTCCTGGACCTAGCAGGCCCCTAGCCCGGCAGCCCTATGCAGCCCTCAAACATCTCGCAGCATTGACCCTCCTGGGAGGCACCAAATTCGGACTGCAAACTTCACAACAAATTGGCACATGCATGTTGATCACGTTGTGGCAAATCCATTGAACATACTGAAACTGATTCTGAAACTGGTTATCATTGGCTCTTCACACCAACCTCATCCAGGTTTGTCCACCAAACTCAGATGCATTTTGGTTGGACAGGAACCAATACGTTAACACATATCCCCAATTTCATTTAGTATTGTCACGTATTATCCCATCCTTTCTACCATCTTTCCCACGAGTCTTGCTTCAATCATTTTAATTCTCCTCCAAAAAGTAGAAGTCTCCCAACATCTCCCAACATCTCCAGGTTTCGAAAACCCACCCGCTACACTCGTTCCGTCAAGTTGCGGAAGGCCGTGGGCGTCATCGCAATGTTCGCCTTGCCGCGGAACTCGCCCGCGAAGCTCGACGCGCCGCGGAGCAGGTTCCGGCGGCTGAGCGGCGACAACTTCTGGACGATGAAGCTGTCAACCGCTTCCTGACATAGCAACAGTGGGAATTTAATGGGATAGTAATAGTATACTATTAATGGGGGGAAATTATTGGGAAAAGAATCTTTAGTCGGAATTTAATGAGAAATGTTGAATGTGTGATTCAAGCATCAACAATGGGGATTTAATGGAATATGTAGTGGGATATGCTAAAAAACAAAAATGTGATATTTATATAGGTGTGCCAGAAAACGATGTGTATACAGTATACATCCCAAAATAGTGAGCATTTCAATAGGGAAAACTCAAAATGATGATCAAATATCAATTTTTGGGGTACACACCCGAATGAAGGCAGCCAGCGAGTGCGAAAAAAGTGCAGTTGGGATTGCGCTTCTATTCTTTGGGGATGACAGTACTACAATTTGGCATAGAAACAACCTAGATAAGTTATAAGTTGAACCTATGAACTGCAAGGGATAATTCCGGTTCATAGATGTCTTATTCAAAATCATGAACAGCAAATATCTTTGCCGTGCTTCAGCAGGTTCTTCCCATTTCCTTCACCAGCTTCAAACACCTACTTGGGGGTGCAGTTGGTAACAGAAGTAACAAGAAACGGGCAGTTTTCACCTCCAATTCATTGCCGTCATGGTGAAAATCCATGGATTTATCGGATGGGATTTGGGGGTACCCATTGGTATATCTTAATCATTCTTAATATATCTTCAGACCCAAATGGCAAGACAGCGACACCGGGACTCCGTCACTCCGTCACCAAGACACCGACAAGGCTGTGGTCAAACCACCTGAACGCATCCAAGCGATGACGCCAACCTCAGCAGCCCCCCTTGTGGGAGGTATGGGGTGACCGTGCTAAACCATGAATCGTGGACAAAAAAACAAGCTGGTTGGTGGTGAATAAACCCCTCTGAAAAAATATTAATTAGTCAGTTGGGGTTATGACATTCCCAATGTATGGAAAAATAAAAAATGCTCCAAACCACCAATCAGCAAGTAGTTGAATTGCTTCAAATTGTCCACGTGGATTGAGCAAAGTCAGGTGTCCCCGTTGTGTCTGTCGCGTAACTTCAACTGTGAGATGAAATTGTCCATTGGGACCATCATTGGAGAACGAGACACCTTGGAAAACATGTAAAAATAACTGTTAAATTAACTGTAAAATAACTGTTATTGCAGCCACGTTCAGAATAGATAACACCACTGAAAAAGTCGTGTAATAGGAACCCAATTCTGGGCGTATTCCCAACACCGGCCAGCGTCCCGGCTCTAAGCAGCGAACGGCATGTTGAAATTCGAGGAAGCTCATCTCCTCGCAAAGACTCACAAACACTACGGCAATTCCATTCAGCCTCTGACCTTTTTGAGATCCCAGAAAATCCCCATGTTTCACCAGTTTCACCAGTTTGTCACAATTCTTGTCTGGTTGGTGGTTTGGAACATGAATTTTACTTTCCATAATATATGGGATAGTCCTTCCCATTGACTTTCATATTTTTCAAGATGGTTAAAACCACCAACCAGCTGTTCATGGCACCGTAAACATCCCAGTTTTTCTCCCCTTGGTCGATGGTCCCTTGGTCCCTTCTACCAATCCTTTGATATTTCACAAAAAAAGTCCATGTGTTGCTGGAAAATCTCTCCGTTCTATCCCTATTTTTTGCTATCCATACCCAAGCTATATGAGGCTCCCGAAGATTCACCAGTTCTGGTGATGTCCCAGTGGGAACATATATATATATATATATCATCTGGTTATTTAACATAGCCATGAAAATCACCATTTATAATAGGTAAACCATCTATAAATGGGCCATTTTCCATGGCTATGTTAAATAACCAGAGGGTATATAAATCATCATAATCATCTTCAGCAAGCCATTGTGATTGGTGAATCCTCAAAAACCAAAAACTGAACCGCACAGCTGGTGAGTCCCTCACCTGGAAGCGTGAGCGAAAGACCTCATCTGCCTGCGTCATCATGCCCAAGCGAAAGGCCAAGCCACATCTCCTGGTGGCTCGCGGCTAAAGGGAGAGTTTTCACCTGCCAAAATAGTTGATTTCAATGGAGGATATTAACAGTAATGGCATAGAATAGGATATTCATAATGGAAGATCATGGTACATGGGCTATTCACGTGAGCAATAGTGGGATAGAATGGGATATCATATAATGGGATATGATAAACAACATGCGTGCCACCGTCCAGTTACATGGAATGAATTGGTTCTTGAATGACAGCTTTTCTAGGAATTCCTTACACTGGGTGTAGATAAATCTCTATGATAAGTCTATGTAAGTGATTGATTGATGACCGTTCCCCACTATGGATAAATTATATTATATGATATCATAAATTATATTTTTTTACATAGCACATAGGCATTTTAACCAGGAAAAATTGGGCCCCCAAAATGCTGGCGCCACGTTTAGAAACCTTGTGATGTGACGCTCTTAGAGAAGCCTCACTAGAGATTGGCAGTCTTGTTGGGTGTGAAAATTGGGTACCCCATTGCCTCCATTGTTCATCCCCATGTTTAGGGTGCTAAATCCCCTTGTCAATTTGGGCGTCAACCCGTTTTTTTCCGTACTGGGCCAACTGGGTAACCAATTGCTGGACACAAATCCTGCAGAATTTCGGGTGGTCACCCGCATGTTCAACGTGTTTGTTTCAGGATGTTTCAGTTTAATTATTCATCAACAACTTCAGATTTCGAACTAATGACTGATCATTTAGTCTAGCGAGGTCTACCGTTTACATGGAATCTTTACGTACCCAAAAAAAAAAACATGGCCTAGCCAAATCACCAGGTACAGTCCCTTCCAGCTATCCTATCCACCCATTGGGTCCTGGGTACAAAGTCGTTGTTGTAGGCCTTTGCTGCTTCCAACAAATCCTGCGCAACATACGGGAACCATGAACGAAAATTGGGCTGTGTCTGAGTGACTCTTTGGGGGGGGGCAACGAAAATCTATTTAATTGGACATTTTCACTACAAAACATCCATGGGTGAAGTATTGGCTTATTTATCTTATTTCTTTTCGACTAGTTCGACTCCTCCAAAGACCTCGCCAAACCTTTGGGGTGAACATGGCGAATCAGTTCCCCATGACCATCAGATCAGACTCACCTCGCATCTTTTGGACATTTTTGGACTAAGATTATGGCTTTGTTTGAAAATATGGTACCCCAAACCGATATTTTCCCTGGCTTCATCATCTTCCCCATGGAAAATTGCCATCACTTGGGGTATGCCCCATTTTCGTACTAAGCCAGTATCAGATTCTTGGTTATACATCCCATTGTGTCCCCATTCACATCCCATTTTTTCCCCATTCATTGATGTTAAATCAGCATTTTCAGATAAATATCCATTCTTCATCGCTTCGAATCCCCGTTGTTTCTTCGTCAAACCACCATATTGGTTGATGCTTCAATCCACATCCACTTTTTAATAGGAGTCAACCAGTCACAGCACCATGCTTTCCATGGGTCAAGCAGCATTTTTCAATGGTTATACATACCATGTGAAACCACCCATTTTGGATGTCCAAATCACCATGTTTGGATGCTTCACTCGCCAAACTCTTCGGATCTTCCCATTGAAATCGCTCCTGAAACTCACCGAAGGACATGAACCGCGCCTGGGTTCAAGAATCCCATGGATTCGGACCGTCGAAATGGAGCCCATATCCATATATATATATATTATATATAGATGTTATATATATATATTATAGATGTTATATATATATGTTATAGATTTTATAGATTTTATATATTATGGATATATTTGTTTATAAACCAGATCCATCGATGTACTACTATTTCACATATATGTGTGTGTAACGTATATGAATTCCACATCATGTTCATTGAAATTCCGCATTTAGTTTTGATTTGCCACTCCAAAAGGCTTCAATTCACTTGCTGCGGCGACCAGGAAATTTGGCTACACTTTACACCTTAAATGGACCTCGTCGAACTTGGATGCTGAAATCATGACCCATCCAATTGTCAGGCTACCCTCTGGTTATTTAACATAGCCATGGAAAATGGTCCATTTATAGATGGTTTACCTATTAGAAATGGTGATTTTCCATGGCTATGTTAGTCATAACCAGATGGTAAATGAATTTGAGCCATAGCAGCCATACCCAGAAACAGCGGAAACTCACCTGGTTCAAATGCAAAATTTATCAAAATTTTGCCACGTCGTAAAATGCAGTTTCGCTTCATTTTCAGGGCCGAGTTTTGCTTTCCATGATCATCTTATATAACCATCCCATGATCATGATCATCTCGTTATCGTCTCATAAGTATGCCTTGTTTGTCAGATTATCCCCATGATTCGTTTCATTCAGTCCGTAATTGCAGACGTTCCCTATTGATACTGGACCAATGTTGTTAAATTTGGTCAGGGTGGTCCGAGTATCACGGTGTACAACAAAATCAACTGTTGCACAATAATGAGCCTGCGCTTGTGTTGACCCGACATCAACATGAGGCAAAACTCGGCGCGGTTGCAAAGGATCCGAAACATCCCAGCACTGTGGCGAACAGTATCTTTTCGTTGACGATTTCAGAGTTGACGCTTAAATTCAGCCCTCCTAAAGATATCTGGCTATTGGTCAAAACCCTGGCACCTAGTGAACCCCAAAATAGCTGGGTTAAAATGGATGTTCATCCCACTAAAAATGGTATTGATAGGTATTGACCCATACCCATATCTAAAAATCAGGGCCCCCATTCCACCGGTGAAAAAATCCCGAGATCCTCCAGGTGCCCCCAACAGCGCCGGGAGGAGCGACATGACCGCTGTAGCGACGATAGACTTCCTGGGGGTCAAAATGGTGATTGGATCATTGGATCACCAAAGATGATGACGTTTTTAATGGATTTTGGGATCTGTAAGCAGCAATGGAAGTGTTATATAATTGGGGATATCAATGGATATTAACATATCATATATGTATATATGTATATATGTATATATGTATATATGTATATATGTATATATGTATATATGTGTATACGTATATATGTATATATGTATATATGTATAAATGTATATATGTATATATGTATATATGTATAAAAGTATAAATGTATAAATGTATATATATATGTATGTATAAATGTATATATGTATATATGTATATATGTAAATATGTATAAAAGTATAAATGTATAAATGTATATATATATATATGTATGTATAAATGTATATATGTATATATGTATATATGTAAATATGTATATATGTATATATGTATATATGTGTATACGTATATATGTATATATGTATAAATGTATAAATGTATATATGTATATATGTGTATACGTATACATGTATAAATGTATAAATGTATAAATGTATAAATGTATATATGTATATATGTGTATACGTATACATGTATAAATGTATAAATGTATAAATGTATAAATGTATATGTATATATATATATATGTATATATATGTATATACGTATATATGTATAAATGTATAAATGTATATATGTATACATGCATATATGTATATATTATATATGTATATATGGGGTTGCGTCAAAATTCGGGTATGGATCGGCCCGCGGTGATCCAGACGTATGGAACGGTCTGGATCACCTGCGTTTTGGTATGGATCGGGGGTATGGATCGTCCTGTGGGTTCAGGGTATGGATCGGGGTTTTATATTTTGACTCACAGCCATATGTGTATACGTACATATGTATAAATGTATAAATGTATAAATGTATATATGTATATATGTATATATGAATGTATATACATATATATCCCCATATTAATGGATTACACTCTTACTGGGGATATCAATGGATAATACGAAAACAATGCCCACAGATCCAGTTTCCAAACTGCCCACGAGGCCACTGGGGCATGTTTTCTGGGTGTCTGACTGGTCTTGCCCCAAGCGATACAAGTTTTTGATCTGACAACGCTGGTTTTCAACAGTTAATTCTTCATACTGTAGGTAGAAAAAAAACGAACCATGTCTGCCAAGTGGTAAATGGGTTTTAGTTCGCCAGCTCACAGCCGCCTATATAAGGTACCATGTGAATCAGCGAATCATCCACCCTCCTGTACTAGCAAGTGATTGAATATGTAGGATGAGTCTCTTCAAATGGCCACGTTCAGTCGTCCAATTTCTGGAGTGCGTAGCACATGGCCAATCCCAGCTACCCAGCTAAAACCTTATGTCTCTTTATGGCTAGAAAAAAATATCCCATTTATGGCACAAAGTAACAAATCAACATGCTCAACCGAGGCCAGAGTATAAACAAGAAGATGACAGTGAGTATTTCTAGGGATGGTACTGCTGGGTGATGATGAATCATCACCCAGCGATCATTCTCTGAGGCATACCGTACTATCCAAAACGATAACAACAATATGCAACAACAATATGCAACAACAATATGCAACAACAATATGCAACAACAATCATCACAACAACAACAACAACAACAATCCCCATCCCCATCCCCATCCCCATGCCAGAATATCATCAGCAGGACCCTTCTTAATCAGGACGCTCCAAGTCGGAATGAAGAATTCGCAAACCATTTTTGAAACCACAAAAATAACACCACCCATCATCCATTGGGTAATCTACATATAAATCTAATAATCTAATATAATATATCCAAATATATACTATCATATATATATATATCATCATATATCCAAAATCCATATGATCATGTTTGTCACCCAAACTGAACCTGAAACGACACCATCTGTGGCCCACTCCAATCCTGCCTGGAGAATGCCATGGTGTTTCTTGATGACATCATCCACCTGTCCACACAACAGGGGATCGCTTAGGCATTTCGGCTCGCATTGCAAACGGTTTGGAAAATGGCAAAAGAAACAATGAAATATCTGAATTTGTCACACATATATAATTTCATATACATCTACATATATACATATATCCATATATCCATATATCCATATATCCATATACCCATATATGTATATATGTATATATGTATATATGTATATATGTATATATGTATATATGTATATATGTATATATGTATATATGTATATATGTATATATGTATATATGTATATATGTATATATGTATATATGTATATATGTATATATCCATATATCCATATATCCATATATACATGAATACATATATACATATATATGTATATATATACATATATACATATATGTATATATACATATATCCAAATATACATACATACATATACACATATATACATATATACATATATACATATATACATATTTACATATATACATATATACATACATATATATATACATATGTACATATATACATACGTATATACATATATACATATATACATACATATATACATACGTATATACATGTATACATACACATATACATACATACACATATACATATATCCATATATACATATATACATACATACACATATACATATATCCATATATACATGAATACATATATACATATATATGTATATATATACATATATACATATATGTATATATACATATATCCAAATATACATACATACATATACACATATATACATATATACATATATACATATATACATATTTACATATATACATATATACATACATATATACATACATAATGTACATGTGCATGTACATGCCAGTCCCCATTGACAGCGATACCCGCGATACCTGTTGGTGACAGCCATGGTGGGACAACGTGGCGGCATGGTATCTCCCTGACAAAAAGCTGTGGTTCCCATAGACATTTAATGCTGTAGGCTCAATGATCAACCCTATTTACCACCCAAATGCATGTAACAATATCTTCAGACTGTACCCATAATATACGACTTTAAATAACTACCCAAAAAGACGTAGCATGACATTAATTATTAAAACATATACAGTATGTATGTATATATAAATATATATACATACATACATATGATAAATTATAAATAATGTTCCATCAAACCACAAACATATAAATTAACAAATCAAAGCAAACAAAAATCATCAAAAATCCATGAGGCCCAACATTTCCCACAAAATCTTGGTTCGCCTCATCCGTATGGAAGGCATCTTGGAAGCCGTCCAACTCCGAGACCTTCGCATCGGCCACCTGAAGTGACAGCTGCTTGTTGAGCCACCAGAAATGTAGCGAAAAAAGCCGTGTATCTAGTCTATCTATCGATATATATATATATATACATACAGTATTTATATATATATACATTAGTTGTGAGATGTAAAGCATAGATACTCAAAACGGTTCACTCTATCCAGGCTCACATCCGCATGGCTTTTTCTTCCCAAACTCTTCGTGCGGTCTCAACCTGCTCCTCGCAGGATAGTGCTTTGGAACGCTGTGCAGGTAGTCTCCTGCACAGCAGCACTGGTTGGATCCGTACACCCTGTTCCGCACTCCTGTAAACTCAGGAGGCTACACAGGTTGAATCTCTCCCACCCAGTGCTACAGTCGTGGAACTCCACGTAGAGATCAGCATCCTCAATGATGTGATCCCCTACAAGGGAGGATACTCCACCGGAGTCCTACCTCATAGGGAGGGAAGGGAGGGAAAAGAAAGAACGATGAAGCCAGTTTGGCTCAGACTTGAGCCAAAATGGATTCATCAGCTTACATACTCACCCTAATGATAATGCACACCCAGTGCCTGCCAAACACGATGCATACATACATTAGTTGTGAGATGTAAAGCATAGATACTCAAAAGGTTCACTATGTCCAGGCTCACATCCGCATGGCTTTTTCTTCCCAAACTCTTCGTGCGGTCTCAACCTGCTCCTCGCAGGATAGTGCTTTGGAACGCTGTGCAGGTAGTCTCCTGCACAGCAGCACTGGTTGGATCCGTACACCCTGTTCCGCACTCCTGTAAACTCAGGAGGCTACACAGGTTGAATCTCTCCCAATGCACTTCATCCCAAAGCACTCAGAGAAACTCCACAACCCGGAGAAACGCGGGAAGTGGTAGAGACCAAATCTCGAAGGGGAAAAATGCAAAATGCGTGGTGAACCCATGGCGTTTGTGCCATGTTGCCTGGAGGCCTTCACGGCTGATCTCATCGGACCAGTTGGCCTTACTAGGGATCCACTCCCAGAAAAACCAAGCTTTAAGACCAAAAAGGGTAATGTGAATCAACCGAGACATATGCTCTAAATCTGCATTGTCAGAACGACCTCGAATCAATGCCATCAGCGCTGCTGTATTGTCGATGAACCAGAGACCTCGTCTGCCTCGAAACCTGGATGGCCGCGAAAACAAAGCATAGAGAACCTGCAGCAGCTCTAGCTGGGCAATCTTCTTGTCACCGGGCTCCCATAGGCTGTACACCAATGGGGGAATGAGAGAAACAAATGCCTCTCGATGTTGCTGGTGATCATCATGCCAAACCACCAAGAAGCCCCCTGTACCCTGACCTGGGCTCTCCAACGCAGCATCAGATGCGGCAAGGAAGCGGAGCCCTACGTGTGGCGAGAGGGACGGGTGGTGATGACAGTGCGCAAAAGGTCGAAGCATTGGCGCAACTCCTCAGTCAACTCTGCGGAGCGCTCCTGCTGTCTGCGCTTGATGGGGGCCAGGCCACCGCAGCCAATGCGCCCCCACACGCCAAGCTCAAAGAAGTTGGCGATACCGTAGAGCTTGGCCGCCACCCCTGGTTGCAGCTTACCGGAATCCTCGGCAGTCTGCATGAGGTGAAGCAACTTGGTCTCGATGCGCTCACGGGCCCAAAACTGAACCAGACCCTTCAAATGAACTTGACTGAAATCGTGATCCAGGCCCAGGAAGGTGCCGGTATTCTGCATCTTCTGACATTTCTCCTCGGAAAAGGGAGTACCCAAAAGGGTGTTGAGGGTCTGCATAGCTCTTTGACCTGATCCTCGGCAAGATTTGCGGTCTGTCACGTGAGCATCGTCAAAATACAAACTTGTCAAACAAAAGGCAAATCGACGTGATAAAGCCTCCACAAAACGACTGTATCGATTGAAAGATGTGACCGCAAGAGGAAGACCAAAAAGCAAACCCGTGTAAATCATAAACGCCGGTTGTTGCCATTCATGATGAAAGAAGGCCACAATGCAGCACAAAGCCTCATCCCAACTCATAGGGCAAAAACGATAGGCATCTGGCCAATCCTCACCACCGGACTCCCATTCTTCTGCCTCCCAGTTGGGTGGACTCCCAAAGGCATAGGCATACTGCAGGTGTTGAGCCGGCCGCAGCGCTGAGCAAAGGGTGAGCTTGTTCGCGTCACTGGATCGCTCAGATTGCAAGCCAACATAGGCGTCGTCAATCACTCTTTGTTTCCCAGAGGATTGTGTGATGACGCATCGAGGGATTAACCGATAGGGTTCCGTACCCAGACAACGCTGCAGCTCCTCTGCAGTCATGGGCAAACCACAAAATCCCTTCTCGGCATCTTTGAGGCTTTGCTGCAACAAAAACTCATCATCGGCGCCTGGCTTGAGCCGAGCCAAAATGGTGTTGTTGTGGCTCTGCCAGTCCTGGAGTACGTCATCCCGTGTCAGACGGGTGGCAACTTGTTCTGGAAAAATGCCATATGGCGGCGCATATCCCACTGCTGGAAGCCCCATACACAGGCCTGCTGGCAGTGTCACATCGCCCCAGTTGGCCACAAGAAGGAGAATTGCTGTGAAACCGACATCGCGTTGCAATGTTGCTGTCCGGATGGCCTCAGTCTGTTGGCCTCTCAAATGGGCCGTGATCGAGCTCCACCGCCTCTTCATCTCTGATAAGATGCCCATGGAGCGCTCCCGCAACCTACGCAGGTCAACTCCTGGCAGGCTGGAGAAAGATGCGGCAAACCTCAGGTCATCGTCCAAAATGGGAAGCCCCTCAGTAGGCAAAGGTTGCATGCTGAGCTGAAGGGCTTGCTCGAAGTGCTGGTCTGGCTGAAGGTGGAAGGGCAGAAGAGGGGCTAACGCCGCTCTGTGGTTGATGGCTCCCACCTGCTGACCTTCTGCTGTCCTCATCTTCTGCCGCACTGAAGGGGCTGCCAACACGGGGTTGCAGCTGCCCTCCATGTCCAGCCCCTGCTGGTGGCGCCATCGCACATACAGGTCGAGTGGGTGTTGGTTCACCAAGTCCTCCACGAAGGGGATGGGAACTCCTTCGAACCACTCTCCCGGGTAAAGCTTCTTGAAAGCTAACGCCAAGGACTCCTGCAGAATGTAGAATGGCCCAAAAGGGATGCCTGTAGCCTGCGCGACACTCGACAAGAGGACACTTCGGGTAACTCCCTTGTGACTCCTGCCATGCTGTCCTTGGACCACTTGTGGGGCTCCCCGAGGGCCCTGCGCACTCAAGCGATCAAAAATCAACCCGGCGAGGAGGTCAGCCTCGCAAGTTTGGGCTGCTGGGCAATCACAGACCAGCACTGAGCCCTCGAGCTCATCCAACTCGCACCAGAGTGTCTCCCTGATGTATTGGACGTAGTAGGGGACCCAGTCTTGAGGGGTGCAATTCACTCCCACCTGCCATGGAGACTTCCACTTGGTGGTCGGTAGGCGGTGAGTATGACTTCCTAGCCCCACATACACATGACCGGGGGGGAGTGCGCCCTGTTGCAATACATCCTCGACACATGCTCTCGTGGGCACCCTAGCTGCTTCAGCTGTGTCCAAGGGTCTCAAACCCAGGCTGATGGCTAGTGGAGTCATAGCCCACTCACGAAGTGCTCTGGGATCGAGGTCAAGCCAATGGTCCCGATGGCCAGTGCAGCTCGGTGATGGGGACCTCGGCACATAGAGCTTGGCGTGGCCAACACGCACTGCCCACCACGATGCTGCCGTGGCGATGGCAAAACATAGCTCTGCTGTATACTCGGACTCCTCAGCTGAAGGGAAATGGCGCTTACCATCCTGCACCCAAGGTTCCCATTCCTGTGGGTCATGAAAATGGTTGCAGTCAGCTCTGGGCCATTGGGCGATCTCCGCGATGTTGTGGCGCAGCCGCTGCAGCTTCGCTCTGGCACCTCCAAAACAGCAAGCTGAATACCGCTGATCTGACCAGCGACCGCTCTCCCACATCGCCACCTCATCTGGCGTCCACCAGTGGAGGCTGTTGTATGGGTTCTCGCGGACTGATCCACCACCCCTGTCCACCAGCTGATCGATCTCGGACAGCACGAAGCTAGCAGCCGCATTGTCCTGCTCCACCCGTGCCAGCTGAGACCCTGTCAACTCAGGGAGACCCAGCGGGTGTTTCTCAGATCGCAACGGCCGGGGTGGTGGGCGCCCATCACCAAAGTCACGCGGAATCTCCCTCGCTCTGCTTTTGGTGGAGCAATCCAAAGCTGCTGCAATGAAGCACACTGACTGTAACTGCTCATGCAACGATTGCTGCCTGAGGCCATTGGATAGGTCATGGCTACTGTCCAACATCCAATCCACTGAAATGGTCTCCCAACCGCAAAAGATGAAGGCTTTGGACAGAGGTGTATTAGGCCCCGCATAAAGGTCCGCCATCCGTGGCAGCTGACAGTTGACTCTGTCTACGGGTCTTGCCTCATCCTGCCCAGCAGAAGTGCCCGCCTCTCCCGCTGGGCCCCGTCATGGCGAAATCTTCGCCCGACATTGGATGGCTCCATGCCCCGGCATACCACAAATGCGTTCACCACGGACCACGATACCGCACTTGTGCTGACCTTGGGGGCAGGAGCTTTTGGGGTTCTTACACTGTCCATGTTGGAAGGCCTGACAAATCTTGGAGCCATCTCGCATCACCTTGGCCACCTTCTTGCCACTAACCGGCTTGCCCAATGCAAACTGGGATGGTGGCTGAACTGCTGCCGCAGCTACTGCTGTGGGCTTGCTTGCCTCTGCCTTGGGTGCTCCGGGCACCGCATGTGGTACCCAATGGGCATCACGTGCCACACAGGTCTCCTTGATGACCTCCCCCAAGGACTTGGATGATTCCCGAAATTTGGCAACCCAATCGGAGCGATCCTCAAGGTCACGAGCTTCCAGCCAGGCTAGCCTCTGTGACAACGGCAGCGTACTTGACTGGCGCTTCGCTCTGTAGAAATATTGCATGACGACATCCAGTGGCACCTCCACGAAGGTGGTCGAGTCGGCGCCAA